TGTGCTTGCATGTTAGGAGAATCCCAGAAGGGTAAATTTAACTTAGAACGTCTAGGATTAACCGGTGACGAGGGGTTAATAGCCCAAGATTTCAAACAACAACGGAAGTTAGTTGTTTGACACAAGGCAATCATAAGGGCCAAAGACCTTAATGGCTCAGTAGTAATTTCGAGCCGACAACGGAAGTTATACTATTAGGACTGATATCTGGAACAATCGAAAGTGACCTTACAGTGTTTATGTGCCTGATTGAATATAGTTTCATACCACATAGAGAGCTAAAAGAATCAATACATATTCATATAGAGTAGAGTGGAGGACGAACCTAGGCTTCCATCACTTTGCCAAGTCATAAACTCACTTGTCAATTTGCTGTTTTTACTTCGGAACCGTGTTTTGTACTGGATCCCAATTTTCATTAAGTGTTTCCCGTCTCTGTGTGATCGACCCTTCTTATCAGTTACTACAAATTTTAAGTAGGTTTATTTTGGTGGTCTCGACACCCATCATGCTCCCGCCATTCGACGCAGCACTAGAACTACAAAATGCCACATTATCTCGATGACTTTGTACTTGTAAACTCTTGTACTACTAATCATCCTTCTAGTTACATTTCTAATGATTGTTGTGTTTTCTCTAAAACTCATGAGTCGTTTGTTGCAAATTTGTCCACTTTTCAAGAACCTTAAACTTACAATCAACCTAGGACTAATGTATGGATAGATGCGATGAACCAAGAGTTAGATGCTTTAGAAAGTAGTGGTACCTGGGAGCTTACTTCTTTGCCTCCATGAAGAAACATATTGGTTCTAAGAAGGTGTATCGAGTGAAATGTAAATCTGATGGCAGTATTGATAGTTTTAAAGCTCGTCTTGTTGCAAAGGGTTTTACTCAAGTAGAAGGAGAATATTACTCTGAAATTTTCTCTGAATGCCGCTTTCCTTCATACGTTTATTGATGAACATGGTACCTCCTCCAGATTTGTCGATTAAGAAAGTCTCTTTATGGCCTTAAGCAAACCTCTTCCCAATGGAACGCCGAGTTTACTTCGAAATTGCTTGCCTTTGGTTTTACGCAGTCCGTTAATGATCACTGCCTCTATACTTTTGTTACTCCTGTCTGTCAGATGTTTCTTTTGGTTTATGTAGACGATGTTCTTCTTAATCTGATGAAGTCCAATTAAAAGGGTTAAAACATTTATGGATGATGCTTTTTCGATTACGGATATTGGTATGGCTAAGTACTTCTAGGTATGGAAATTACTAGGTCTTTTGCCAGAATTTAGGTCTGTCAGCAGAAATATATCACTGATATTTTACGAGATACAGAAATACTGGATTGTAATCCCGTTTCTACACCTTTTCCTAAAGATTTTTGGTTCCCATCTAAGGATCCTACCTCTGTTTTTCCGGATCCAACTAAGTATAGACGTCATCGGCAGATTGTTATATCTTAACTATATTAGGCCTGATCTTGTGTACGCTCTTCAGCAGTTTAGTCAGTTTGTTCAAGCTCCTTTACAGTCCCATTGGCAGGCTGCTTTTCATGTTCTTAAGTACCTTGCTGGTTGTGTTTCCAAAGGTTTTTTCTATCTCAATGGTACTTCACTTCAGCCTCAAGCCTATAGTGATGCCGATTGGGATAGTTGTCAGTTCACCAGGCACTCTGTAACTGGTTATTGCATAGTTCTTGGTGCTTTTTTGGTCTCCTGGAAGAATAAGAAGCAAATTATTGTCTCCTGTTCTTCAGCTAAGCTGAATACAGGACTATGGCTATTACAGCCTGGGAACTTCAACGGGTTAGATATGTTCTCTCTGATCTTCAAATTTCAGTAGCTTTACCCATTGATTTTCGGTGTGATAATAGAACTACAGGTTGTCCGGGATCTCTACAGGGTTTTCTTAACTTGAATCTCCTCTAATCAACTTGCATATTTGTTAATGAAGTCCCTCCTAGCTCTCACATTTGATGTTCTTGACAAGATGGCCATGTCCCATCCTCGGAGGGGTGTTGAGTAATCAACAGGAATCAGCACATAATGAAAATCAAGCATCTCAAGTTTTAGATTTTCGAATACACAAGATAGATTTGCATAGTTAGTTAGAATAGAGAAAAGGAATAAGAAATTGGGAGATTGAATAACTGTTGCAGGGCACTGGAGGGAGGAAGGGATAAAAATAATTCGTCGGATGGTTGGGAACATTAAAATGTAATTAATCATTTATCTAATTAAACTTTAATTATTTTGAATCGTGAAAAAAAGGCAAAAAATTTTAGAGATTTTTGGTTGAGAGCGGCATTTTAAGGATTGAGGCATTAAGAAAGAAAGTAAAAACGAACTAGAGATACTGTCAAGAATTTTCGCTATTTAACTGTTTCTTTGTTTAATAACCCTATGAAAACTTTTTAGGCCAAATGATAAATCCAATGGTGTTTTCCGGCAAATTTGATAAAACCTATTTATGTCCTTTTATTTCTTCTGAAATTATTACATCATCTCTTCTCTTTCTTGGTCTCCATTTTTCTCCGACCACAATTCACAGACATCACAATTGACAACTAACAAGCCTGGACCCTAGGTTATTATTTTTTGCGGAAAAATATTAAGTTATATAAGCCATAATAATTTCTATTATTTACTAACCAAATCCACTGTCATATCATTACGGTGATTATTCTTTTTATATATTACGTAAATTATTGATCCGAGTAGTTCTTTTGGTAAATCTCTCCCGTGGAAAAACATGGCATGTGGTTATGGAAATTTTTTATTTTTAGACTTGAGGCTTAATCAAGAATCATCAAAGTTTTCTGTGGTTGCGGTTGAGTTTGGATGACGAGAAACGAACAAATTTTGGTAAAATTAATTAGGAATTATAGTTAAGTTGTGATTGTCCGTGGACATAGTTGAACTTTAACAAAGTTGGATTTAAGGGGAAAAAAAAACACCTGGATTTATCACTAGCCAACTTCAAGTTTTCTCTTTAAAACATTTTTAGAGGCACTTCTCACAAAATTAAGAACATTCAAAAAAGTTAGGTATTAGGGATCATTGATATGCGAGCCCTGAAACTTCCAATCTCTTAATTTAAAACTTCTTCGCAGTTCACAAATTACTCTCTTACATTTTATTTTGGACAATTTGCCCCTGAACGCTTATCTAATTACAAAAACCTACTCAAAATATATTTATCATACAATTTTAATATAATATCTTATGCATTCTTTATTTAAATATAAGAAATAAATCATAATAATAATAAAAAACTTATTATACCTAATTTCTACATTTAATCTATACTAATTATTAAATTAAATTACTTATACCTAATAAATCCAATTAAATCAAAAATGTTATTAAATCAGTAAATATAACACAAAAATAAAATTAAAGTAAATATAAAAAAATAATGACAATTACACAAAAAAAATTATAAAAAGAAATTGAAAAAAAAAAAAATTTGCCCGGGCCGGCCACCCTTTAAAGATTGGTCGGTTTACTCACCGAAGTGGCCTCGGTCACTTTTTCCCGGTTGGCCGGTGAGTAAAGCGGCCAACTTCTAAAAGGTGGCCGGCCCGGCCCAGTACTTTTTTCAATTTTTTGTGTTATTTTTATATTATTTTTTTGTTATCATTATATTTTTTGTTATTGTTCAATTAATTTAGTTAAATTTATCTATAATTAATGTAATTAGTGTATGTTATGTTATTTAGTTGTAATTAATTTACTCAAAATATAACAAAAATAACTAATTCATTTACGTAAACAATAATTATTAAAGCCTACAATAATACTAACTAAATACCACATACTTAATTACAAAAACCTACTCAAAATGTATTTATCATATAATTTTAATATAATATTTAGTGCATTCTTTATTTGAATATAACAAATAAATTATAATAATAATAATAAAAAACTTATGATACCTAATTTATCCATTTAATCTACACCAATTATTAAAATAAATTAATTATACCTGATAAATTCAATTAAATTAAAAATATTATTAAATCAGTAAATATAACGCAAAAAATAAAACTTAAAGTAAATATAAAAAAATAATAACAATTACACAAAAAAAAAATTAAAAAAATTGAAAAAAAATTTTCCAGGGTGGCTGGTCGTCAGGCCGGCAAAAGGTTACCACTTCTTCCCGGTTGGCCGGTGTACCCAACTTGGTGAGTAAACCGACCAACCTTAAGCCGCCCACCCTTACCCTTTTTTTTTCCGTGTTATTTTTATTTTATTTTTTTGGTATCATTATTTTTTTGTATAATTATTTTAATTTTATATTTTGTGTAATTGTTCAATTAATTTATTTAAATTTATTTATAATTAATGTAAGTAGTGTATGTTGGAGAAGAAGAAATAGTTCACGGACAAAATTATCCAAAACGAACTGTAAGTGAGTAATTTCTGAAACACTTTGTAGTCGTCCATACACCATATGGATTCCGTGGAGGCTTAACATTTACTCCGTCCTAAACCAAAATTATTGTCCAGATTTTTAATTATTGTCCAGATTTTTATTTTTAATTCAAATAGTAAAATCTAAAATCTGGAGAAAAGAAAATACATCTTATTAATAAATTAAACCAACATATATTCACTATTCAACGAAGTGAAATTTGAAGAGTCAGTAACTCAACGGTTGACCTAGACAGTGACATTGGACATGTGCCTTTAATCATTTGAGCACGTAAACCTTTCGCCCATAGGACATCCAGAAAGGCTTGGTTAAAAATCGTAGTAATAACAATTACGGAAAGGCATGAAAAAGTGTCACCACACCCGCACATACTGGTGCATCATGACATTTTCTGTTTTTACCACAAAAAATATTTACAACTTAAAACATTTTCTGGCTATTAGACCACAAACATTTCGAAGGCTATTAACCAGAGCCTTGTACAAAAGCATACAGTAAGTGTTGCAAGAAAATAGACATCCTCCACATGCCCCCAAGCTGCCTACACATTTTCTAGAAGAATGATCATGAAAATGTATCCTCTCGGTCAGCTTCTGCGGTGTCATCTTCCATGTTGCTGAAATCAATGAAATGTCCTGGCCGATGGTCTTCATGATAGTACTCCCTTGGAGTTCCCAGCTTCACTCCATATTTCATGGTTGGAGTATGCTTCACTCCCATAAAGTTGTAATTCCATGGGCCACTATCTGGGATCTAAAAACAGGAACCACCAGAAATTAAAATAGGTATAGACCAATTCGCTTTTTGTGTGTGGGGTGGGCTGGGGTTGGTGTTAACAATCGAAAGAAAGTTAATTGATTAATGAGAAAGGCATAAAGCCATAACCCTACAGACTTACCATGTAGAAACCAAAGAAGCGATCACTCAAAAGCATCTGAACCTTCTCATAATGTGTTGGCAGATAACCATGAGGATTGCTCCCAGTATCCTTGTTCGCTCGCCCCCACTCATAACCGGATGGCGTCAGTTTGTATGCAGTTAATGAGCAGGAACCTGGAGTAAAACTGCATGTTAAGATAATACATTTCTCTCCATCCCATTGCTTGTTGTTTTCCAGAATCCGGGCGTGGCTAGTTAGGTCCTACATAGACAATTAATTTCAGGTCACATAAATGACTGCCAAATAGAAACAAAAGACTTAATTCCCAGGTGAAAAACTTGAGAGAACTTGAAGAACAAATTTCACACCTGAGGAGAGAGCTGAGGTAATTCATTTGGCTGGGTGTGCATCCATCCCAAAGGCTCCAAATCATTTAGGAAGTCATGCTCAGGGAGAGCTAATGGCAAATTCACTTGCTGATGAGTTCCCAACTGTGGTGGCATGACAATACAGCGAATTTCCTTTACTTGAGGATTATCAGGAGGGCTTATGCCATACAAATATCCTGCAATTTGTGTACGCAAGTCTGCAATGCAGATGAACTTCTTCAACACATTCTTAGGCATAATGTAAGTGTACCCAGTTTCCTGCACAAGAAAGATAAAGAAAATGTTAAAAGAAAATCAATCCTCCTCGGCATGCGACATCACCTTCTACTGTAACAATGGGAGTCGAATTCTATAGGTACCTTAATATCTTCAGAATTCACATATATGTGGTTCACACGGAGGTACAGATTTGTGGCAGAGACAGCTCTAACACGCCAGTCAGTCTTAGTCCTAATTATTTCCTGCTCATATGGACTGGTTGTCGTCACAATGAGCTCATCTCCATGAACATTTGTGGTTCTCGTAGTGACTGCAGTTAACTGGTTAGCCTCCTTGGCCTAAACGTAGAGAGCAAAAGGAAAAAAGTAACTTGTCAGCTGAACTGGGAAAGACCAGAGTATTTAGAACAGTTGAATACTAAAGCAGATAACAAATTCAGTATTGCTATCAAAACCAGAACAAACAAAATACCGTTTTTTCTATCTCTGCAATCTGTTGCCGCTGCTGGGATGGTGGAGTGATTTCAGCTCCAAGGATAATATCACGTATCTCTGACTGTGTTAGAGCTGAAGTACTCACATTGTTCTTCTTAGCATAATCAGACAATATTAGATCCCTCAATGCAACCTCAACCTGCATAACATACACAACACGTAAAACATCGAATGAAAAGCTGTCACAATGTCACTGCTGTGGGCTATGGGTTTACAGAAAACCCTCATTTTGCAAAATAAGTACTTAGTGCACAAATAAGTCTTACCTTCATCCACTGATCATCTGTCAGAGAAGGCCAGATATGATGTGGTTCAGTGACAATTGTCTTGTCAGGCTTCAGTAACATTTTTGCCTTCTCATTGTTCACATGAAGTGCACGCAGGATTAGAATTAATCTCGAGAAGGCAGTATACGATGAGATACTTTTCAGCCAGTCATCATATATGTTAAATAAGACCATCTGGGGTTCAGTTGCCTTCAATATCAGATCCCCGAACTTCTCAATCTTCAAACAAGCCTGGAAAGGCAATTGAAGCTCACTCCCCTTTATAACAATATTCGGGAAGTCCAGTAAGTGTACCTCCAATGGATCCAACATTCCCTTGCGTGTAACGATAATCTGTTTTGGCTGTTCTTCGACTGGTAATGAGCGCACCAAGGCAGCAACTTCTTCAGCTGTTTTCCACTTGGCCAACTGGCCAAGACGCTTTTGTCCAGCCCAAACACTAGTGTGAATCACCTGAAAAAGTTTAAACATAAATATCATCATGGAAGATAGAAGGCTAGATACATAAATTAGAAGAAAAGCAAACCTTCAAAAACAACTGGCCAGTTCTCGGGTTGAAGATGAAAATTGCACCATTAATAGGCTTTGTCGTGAGGTTCCCCTCAAAAGTTTTGTGGATAGTGACCCGATAAACATTAGTGTCATCAACAAACCAGATGATTTGATTGCTGAAAATTTCCCCATAATTTTGGGAGGAGAGGTAAGGCTCTGTTGGCTCTGATGAATAAAGCTGCAAGCCTTTCCTTATTCTTTCCCTGAGCACATACAAAGCAGGGTTTGACTGCAGCAACGAGTGAGAAAAGAACATATTAGATACAATCTTCGCAAAACATAAGAAACATATGAAGGAGATGACAAATCAAGTAAATTTGCAAAAATGCTCAAAAGACTGAAGTACCTTCATTATCTTGTTCATGGCTTGCGCAAGCAATGGTTTTGAGCCAGGGAACCAGTTACCAAAGGCAGAATGCAAGTTGTAAGCAAGATCGAGTCCAATCATCACCCCTGAATTCAAGAACATCAAACTTAAGAATTGATTGAACCCTGAACCGACTCCACCACCCCCAAAGCAAAAAGAATCTTGGCGAAGTTCAAAGGAATTCCCACTGAAAATAAATTTAACATGCCCAGAGATCACAATAGCATACCTGTAGGGGAAGGATATATAGACATGTTGTCTGTTGTATAATCCATGAATTTCGCCCTTGTGTAACGTTCAATATCATGGGAGTCATAATCACCCCAACGAAGCTGAACATCTATCCAGTACTTGTTGCTAGCTTTCTGATCAAACACATCCTTTGACTCAGCAACAAGACTAGGCTTTGACATGGGCCATCGATGAGCAGCAAACAGGAGTATATCAGCACACGAACTGTTCATCTTATAACTTTTCCTGGGATGGATAGTTTCCTTCTGCACGGTCTCAATTTCTAGAGCATCAAGTTCTTGATCCAAGACCTGGCAAAGATCCATGACAACACTCTCATGAATCTTCTGCCACAAGTGGGCTCGGAATATTTGTATCAGAGATATCTTGAGAGTTGGTATCTTTCCATGCATAAAAATTCCCGTCAGATCCAGCTGTACTTGGAAACCAACATAGACATTGGCCCGATTAATGGTAGGAGACCACCACAGTGTAAATCTACGATTCGGAATCTGGTTGAGCCCAGATCTCTGTGCATTAGTCAGCTTCTTATATTTCATGGATTCCTCAAAGCCAGATGCCTTCTCCCAGAAAAGACCCTCCCATGTAGGAAAACTGTAGAACAGACAGCCACACGAAATTGTCAAATCGGAGCAAGTGACATCAGAAATTACATTGAAAATAACCTTTAAAGAAGCAAAGAAGAAGAAGTCAAAACATACTATGTCCCCTTAAATAAGGTATGCTCCAATATTCCTTCGACTCCCCCTAGCGCTTGAATAACATCAGTTCTATAATTGTTCAAGTTCCATAGCTTTCCATCATGCCTCTGGTGGGTCCACCAGAATGGGTTCTGCTTCAAAACTTGATATTGCTTAAAATCTGTTCTCACTCTCCATCCTTTGTCATATGCAAGGGTGTGCCTGTCCTTCTGGAACAACGTGTTGATCCTAGGAATCCCACGGTCCCATGAATCCTATACATTAAGTAAAGAATATGAGAGCCATGAAGAGTAGAAATTTCAACACAGGATCTTTCCATGTACAAACAAAGACACAACCACAGAAAGGCGGAGCAATATAGGGGTCAACAATAAATTCACCACCACCAAAAGCCCCAAAAAGAGAAAATAACAAAAAGGGTAGGAGACAGCAGCAACACTGACCTCAAGGTCTTCAAGAGTCAACCGCCGATTCTGTGCCTGAGCTTCTTGTCTTTTTAATGCATATTCAGCCCAAACTCTTTGGGAGTCAATGAACTCACTCTCCCAAGGCTGTCATTGAAACAAAGATGTGGTCAGCAATTTAACCACAAAATTATAAAAACAAAGCAAAAGAAATCAGATTAGCTCAAAAAAATTATCAAACCTGTATGTAGCGATAAAGATTTGGAATCAACTGATCTTCCTCGTGACTCATACCACTCCTAAAATGTGTGACACCAACATCTGTCTGCTGACTATAGCGTAGATCACTCTGTGGAATAAGAATGTGACCCATTGATAGCATTCCCAACCCACCAATTTCTTTCGGAGTGTAAAATATAACAGGGGGAAACCTGCAAAGACAACCAGTCAAAATGATTAGGAATTTGAAAGTTCATATGGCACTCATAATAATTGTAAGTACACCACCTAAAGTGCGTACTTTACCTGCTTGGCATTTTCGAGTTCAATCCAATCTTGATTCGGGTTTGGATTTTGTTTTCGCATTTTACCAATAAGTCTAACAATTCCTGTGTATGAACAGTAGCTTCACGGAAATACGTCATGAGGCCTAGCAAAAGCAAAAAGTGAAAATCAGTACGGTGGTAGCAGAAAAAATATTACCAACTGGGAGCACAAAACTAAATTTGTACTGTCGTACCTATTAAAGCTGTATTCCATTTGTTGACAATCTTGGTGAATGTAGTAGAACCTGATGACATAAGAATCTGCCTAACACGATTCTCAAACACTTTCATATGCTCATCATCAACACGTAAGAAAGCAACAGCAGTACGCTCTTTTGTTTGCTCGTTCTGCAAGTTCCACACGCCATCTCTTGTATTACTGAATGCCTCCTGAGTCATTCTTATCTTCGGTAGAATACGAACCTCAAACCCGCACATACTAAAAAGCAAGTTGGGATTGTCCTTACTGTACACAGAAACAAAGCTGTTCTCCCATTCCAATGTTGTTATACTTCTGGGAAGACGATTCTTCATATCCCAAAACACACTTCTCCCAAGGTTGACTGTGTAAATAGACAAAAATAACAAAAAATTAAATCAGACAACTTCCAAACACGAGAAAAAAACTAACTAAACATAGCAAGTGAACAGAAATTACCATCATGTTTCATTAGCCTCATCCGAGCATCTCGGGGCCAGCACTTCTTGTTGTTATAGCCAACCATATTCTCATTGTTCGGATCAGGATGCTCAGTAAGATATCGCTGGATGAGATCCCTTGCTTCCTCGTGAGTGAAGCGGAACAATATATGCACCTTATCAATGTACCTTGAGTACAACCTTATAGGGTGTCTGGTTTCAACTTTAGTGTCCCAGTAAGTGATGAACTCATTTGGCATCTGTGGTGGACCTGCAATCTCACTAGCTCGAGTCAAACCAAGAATCAAAAGATCCAGGACCAGTCCATAATACTGCACCACAAAAGAAGCAAACTGCAGTCCACGGATTAGACCATAAGAATTCGTATGACTCATGTCCTTGTAAGAGAGCACAACATTGTTCTTGGCCGTGACATAATCCGCAATGTTATGATCAAGCACAAGCCGAAGAAGCCTGTTAAGCATGGTCAAATCGATCTTCTCAAAAAATTTCTCGAACTTCGTTTGGAGCATCACAACACACTGCCCTTCACTAGTGTCCCATATATCTTGCAAGTTATTTATGCCCTGGCACCATTTATAGACGAGTAAAGGAGGTGGCTCTGAATCTGCTGGCTTTATCCAATTTGGAAACAGATGTCGCTTGTCACCTTCATACCATAGATACTGATCCAGATAAGCATCTGTGATCTTTTCAAGAGGTTCAATCTCATAAACAGGTATCAAATAGCTATACAAATCCATGAACTCAATGCCAACTTCTTTGAACTGACGTTGGGTGAGAAGATGACGCTTAATACGTGAGAGAGCCTCGTGAGGATTATCGTAAGCTTGCTCAATGAGACCTAACTCTTCTCGCTGTAGCTGATTTAACCGCACCGCCACACTGTATGACTCCTTCAACCTTTCAAGTGCAAGGATAAGAAGTTTTGTATCATGCTTGTATGAAAGAGGAGGAAATGGGATAGGAGTGAACTTTCTAGATTCCAACCAATGCACAGTGGTAGTATAAATAGCTACAGCTTCTTCTGGGGTCACATATGGACCATCTTTCAGATAATTGTGTTGACGCTCTTGCTCCGCTTTCAGCCAAAGCCGCGTCAACCTTCCTAGGTTCTTCCGACAAACAGTTTTATCCACAGTTGCACCTCTTCGTATACGTTCACGATTGTAATGAGCCACATTCGTCCACCAGTCAGCTTTCGACTTGACATAACGAAGAATCATGTTCTCAATTGGAACAGGCAAACCAGGGACTTTCCATGGGATATTAGCTTTCCAACAACGCCATGCTTCGCTCAAGTGTTGCAAGATTGTTCTAGCCTTGTTCTGCTTAATACCTTCTGGCATAGCATCAAGAACATCATGCATTACAGCAGCACGAAGCTCCAAATCAAAGTGACTTTCAACACGTTGCTTTGTTACAGTTTTAGCAACCCCTTTGGAATGACGTCCCTCAAACTGTCGTGCCAGTAAATTGCCCAACCATCTTTCAAGAAGAGGAACAATTCCGCGGAGGAAGAACAACCATACTCTCCACATGGGAGCCCAGAAACCACATCCAGGTCCTTTCCCAACAGGCCCAGTATTAAATCGATAGTAAATCAAGTGCTTCAAGTCCTTACACATTCTTATCTGCCGCATAAGCCTGTATTTGTATCTGTACATTCCAGTCAACTGCCCAACATGTGAAAAAATATATTGCAGCCCATCGGCCAACTGAAACGCATCGACATTTCCCAAACGGAACTGGATGTTAGCATCAACCACAAGCTTTGTCAAACGCAGTATCTCACGACATAGATGAAAGGCATTACCAAAACGGGACTTTTTTCTCTCCTTGGTAGTCAGTGTCTTCACAGGCTTTAGATTAAAATTGTAGTCCAGATGTAAGTAGTTCAAATTCTTCCTGTGAATCAGCAGATTCAGCATATTGTATCCCTGTTTACAAACTTGTAAACCAGCTTCAGCCCAATCAAGTTCTGTAGTTTGGAAGAACTTGGTCGCTGCAAGAGACCGGAACAGATGTTTCTTTTTTTGAGCCTTGGGCGGCCTGTGATGCAGCTCATTCAGAACAAAGCATTTGAGAAGTTTCTGATAACTCACCCGAACTTTGACAGGATATGATGGAGGACTGCAGGACACATAGATAAAATAAGTTGAAGCACAAACAAAAACAAAATAATGGAAAGGCATCAAATTTGATTGAAAGGCACTCCAAATCTCACCAGTGTTCCTTGTACCACTCAGACACAAGAGGTATATCTTCAGCACGCCGCATGCGACCAGATCTCATGTTAAAAGGGCGTGGAGCAAACAGAAGGGAAATACCAGCAGCGGTGGTATCAGTATAGAGAGGAGTACTTTTGAGTAGCGGCTCAACCCCTTCAGGCAAAGAGAAGTCGTCATCATCATCCTCTTCCAACTGTTTTTTCTCCCGCCTATCCTTACCGGTGCTGGTGATAGGGTGAATAAGAGGATCATAATAAAAGGCAGGTAGATCTGGATCCTCGGTCTTTATGTACATTACCATCGGGGTATGGTAAACTCCAAGCTTAACCTTTCGGGGTCTATTGTTATACAGATGAGGGAAAGCAATTCTGTATTCTGTCCTTAGGGGTGACCTAATTATGAGCTTGTTAATATCATTAAACTCATTCCAGTCTTCATCTCCTTTCTCCATGTCTCGATACAATGGCTCGAACTTTGGGCCACCTGATAAAAAGAAAAAGCAGCTGCTAAGAAACACAAGGTGAAGGAATAGGAAGTATGAACTAGGAAAACGTGCTATGAGGCAAGAACAAACGGGCAAATTTATAATTAAAAAGTGACCAAACACTGCAACTTCAGTAGGTTTTACAAAAGTCATCCTGTCAGGGGGGAAAAAAAAACTTAACATACCAGGAATGCACATGTTGAGTGCTTTGGCAGTAAAAAAGGACTCCATATCAAATAAGTAGAAGTAATTGCGATCAATTAGATCCGACAGAAGCTGTCCAGCAAGGCGATGAAGAGTTGCCATAATCGGGAGAGACAAATGCCATTTCCTGTAACTTGGTCCATTAATAAGCTTAGTTTTTACTAGAGGCTTATGATCATAAAACCAAGTGTATACAGCAGAATCTTCTTCCTCATCCAGCTCTAACTGAATCGGCTCTAAAGGATCCACATCTAAAATGTTATCAGCATAATCAAGCGGAGGTTCCTCATCATCGAAAGGCGGGAACCGCATTCTCTTGAAATGGCGCCGATCCCTCTTCTCCCTACGCATCATAATCCACATGGTACCCCACTGCCAAAAGTACCCAAACCACACCAGAGTTATAGAGGATATGAACGGAGATGTTACCCCCAACATAATAACAAGAGAAAAGTTACAAAAGCCTTGAGAGATGGTAAATAAAATATTAAAGACAATTAGACAAATCATCACACAACGGGAAGAGTACCTGTGCTAAATATATAGGTTCAACAACCCATGGTATTTCGTTGACAAACGTTATGGCACCAGTAATATGGTACAGCACCTTCACATCCCGGACCTGCAGCCATAAAAAACAATTGAAGGTTATTACATGATTATGAACATGATGCTTCAGTCATAAAACCAGTCTGCCAAATCTAAAAATAATCTCAAAGCAAGTACTAAGAAAATACCTGCTCCCAAGGCATTGGCATGTTCTCAAGAAGTTTGTAAACAGCATGAGGAACAAACTTCAATGCTCCCAAATATACACGCTTATCATGACGATACTTCTTGGATGACATATCACCATGATCTCTGTTAAAAAAACAATGGCATCAACATTCATTCCAACAAAAGTCTCTCGAACAATTAAGTGCAACCATTCATTGCAAATAAGGAGATAATTTTATACTTCCATATAATTAGGACAAAGGATGTAAAAAGGTTTTCAAACATGTAACTAGAACCAAAGAAATCTTCAAATGAAAGCAATGAAGCTCGATGCTTAGACAAAAGTGTTAAAAAAATTGATCCATCATACACAAAGTTGCTGCTCAAGAACATGCACTACTTGCCAAACTAGAATAACAAAACCATACATGTGACAAAAAGACTCTTAGGCAAGGAGGGCTGAGCTGGAGTAGATATGCTCCTCTTCATGAACTATAATCATCAGCCCTCTACCACATGCACATGAAATAGCTAACAGAACATTAAAGACTCTAAACCAAGATTGACTGACCATTAAAGCCCAACATGGAGTTGACTCTTAAAACATATAACTAGATCCAAAGATATCTTCAAGCAAGATAATAAAATCATGAGAGCTCAAACGCTTGTACAAACAAGTAGCATAAAGAAAGCTGAATCAAATACGGGCAGCTAGGAACAGGAATTTTGCTGGTCTAAGTTATCTGGGGCTGGCTAAGCTAGAAGATGAAGCCTATACATGGCAAGGAACCTAGATACAGAAATCCAGGCTAGACCTAACAAGCTGATGATCATAAACCGTAATCTGCTCTATACACCACAGGTTAATGTCATAGCAGCTGACCCTTTTAAACTATGTTTGAGATCACAACGTTGCATCTCTATGACCAAAAAAACAATTAATTAACATGGGAAACAACACTCATCATCCTAGTTACATATGAATAACACCGAGGATAGCATGTGAAAGAAAAAAATGCATATTTTACAAGTTCCACGAAAACTACAACAGAATTATCAAATGGAGAGTTAAAAATGCATTATCAGATAAGAAGCATGAAGCAATCTTTTTCTTTCTTCTGAAAGCTGAATCCTCTTCTTAATAAACCAGTTCAAAATAACCAAAGTGATGTTGTTAGCTTGCATCTCCATGTCTTACAAAGAAAGCATTTCCAAACCTTACTCTAGGACAACCACGAAAGTGTCAACGAACCTAAGAACAAAGAAACCAGATGATAATATTCACTTGAAAAAAACCTGACAATCAGGAACTGGTTTTCTCCAATTAGGTATCATGCTATATAAAATAACTGAAATAAATTTAAAGAGACTCTAGATTACTTCCTTCTTACAGAACAAGATACATGTACACAAGCCTAAATGATTAAATCTATCAATTTCTGCAACTCCAGTAACAGGGGAAAAAACAAACAAACCCTAAACAAATAAAATATACCAAAACAAACACATAAAGTGGAACCCAGAAGCTCAGAGAAAAAAATCAAACCAACATAAGACACACCTAAGAAGAAGCAAAACTCAAAGAACAAATCAAATTTCCAAAATAATTATCCCAAAGAAAGAAATAGAAAATACTAACCTAATAATCTTCCTCACATGCTCGGGCGGCATATCTTCTTTCTGTGTTTCAACAAATCCAAACTTCCTCTTATCACTATACCGCTTCGAGTTAAGTTGCATCCACTTCCTCGCTTTCTCCTCCAGCTGCGCCTCAGTTGGCAAAACAGTATACGAAGGCGGTGGAGGGAGAGGCGGAGGACCAACAGCTCCCGGAGCTCCACTAGTTCCAGGCGGCATTAACGGCGCCGGTGGTGGTATCCCCGGGGGCGGAGGCGCCACATTCCCCATATTAACATCCGCACCAGTGTTCCCCCACATATCTTGTGGATTCCCACTCCACATGATTCCAACCTGCAATAAACCGTAACCCTAACTACAAATTCTAGCGATTAGATTACAGATTGGAAAAGACGAACATTTGTTTTTCTCCGTTCCAAGAACGGGATTCGTAGAGTTCAGTCAGAGAGGTTCGTATCCTAGGGTTTAGCAATTGGGGAGAGAAACGAGCGCGAGTGTAACACCTCTCTCTCTCCTCTGCAGAAGAGTTTGAGTTTGAGTTTTTTCCACGCGCTTCGGGGGTTTTCCGGGATTTTAAATGGTGGTAATTGAGGGAGCATGAGTTTTCGGGCCTAAGGCGGTTGTCAGAAACCGATTTTGTTCATTTCATTTGGGCCTTTTAATTGGGCAATTATGTGTAAAGGCTCGGTTTGATCAGAAATTATACAACATCAACACTCACATGATGTGGTGCTGCAACCCAATATTTAACTGACACTTACAATTTTTATCAACAATAATGCATATATACTTCTTACTATCTAAGAAGCAAAAACCACGGTTAAGAGAACGTACCACCATTTGCCATGTGGCATTTCCACATCATATTTTTAAAATAAATTTTTATTTACACATCAGTTTCCTAAACTTATAAAGCAAATACAATCTAAATCCACCTCTACCTCCTATTAAGATGTAATAGAAGCATTTTTCATGTCATTCTCTCCCCTCTCCCTCAACCTCCACGATTTCACCCACCAATCGACTTTTAATCAGTCCACGTTTAAAAAGTCCACGTGTAGAAATTATTCCGTATAAAAATTATGGTTTTGAATCCGTGTAGAAAATCATGACAACGGCTCTAAAAATTTTTCCAAATCATCGACCCTCATTTATGTATTAGCTAACGGAATCTTTTGCTACGGTAATTTGCTAAAATTCACCAAACCTTCTTGGATCAATTTTCTACATATATAGATATATATAAACCCCAAACCAATTCTTATATGTGGATTAATTGAGCTAAAATTTACAACAAAAATACTGAAATGGTACATACATAATTACTGCTATTAATTTTATTAAGTTACTATAAAATGGTCGTAACACAATTAAGTTCATTTCAATAGAGTATTCTTAAGTTACACTATTTTTTTTGACATCTAATATTTTTATACAAAAACTACTTAAGAAATCGCAATTCCGTTAAACTGATTAATTGATATCACATTCAATATTTGCAAATTAGTGTATAATAATATTTTTTGCAAATATTAGATAATGATATTATTACACTATTAAAATATTTGGATATGATTACACTATTTAAGAAAATATAATTGATTTGGGTTCGTAAAAAATCCAAATCTCCACCTCCATCTCCACGACAATCGACTCCCTAATCAATCCCCTCTCCACAATTAAAAAATAAATAAATAAATTCCTCATCAATCATCAATTGAGAATATGTGGTGAAATATACTCATTTCCTATTAGCATGTTCAATCTTTTCATTAGTGATGATCAACTACATCCTAATCGGATAAAATTTCGACTTCAAAAAAAATTCTCTTTACCTCTCTACATAAACACAAAGGAAAAAAAAATTTTCTCATTGATATTGCTTCAGCCCTTGTGGTGGTGTCATTACAGGTGTTAGAATTTAAATGATTTTATTTCCACAGATCATTTGTTTGGTTTTTATTATTTTTTGTTTTAGCCGTTCAAGAATAGTGTTATTACTATTACTTTTATGCATCCATCCGTTACAGCTACCGTAACCGTTGTCAGGTAATATGATGTGATTTCTTATATAGTTAGTTAGTTTAGAATTTTTGTATGATTTTAGTTCTGTTTGGATTGAATTGATTAATTGGGTTTTTGTTACAAAGTGTTGTTTTTTGAATTTATTTTTTATGTTTCATTCAATTAAAGTGGTTTTCTTTTTTTAATTATGGAGTCTCAGGTTTTTTTCGTATATTGTTAATTATGAAGTGTGTTTTTTCTTTGTTTAATTGCTTTTGATTTTGTTCCATACTCCCAGTTGACTAATTACTATTATTACTATTTTATTTTATTTACAAATAAAGCGCGTTTTTTTTTTGTGTCCGGGCTTTCAAGGATATACTTTTTTTAGTTCTTCATCATATAAATAGTTCAAGTCGCTTCTTCTAACTAACTTATGGGGAAGCCTTTTATGAATTTAAAGTGGAAAGGGAAGGAATGTTGTTTCTACGTTTATTTGTGTTTTTATATATCATTTTTACCTACAGAAAAAAAAAATTTCTCAATTTTTAATGAGCTATCTTTTACTTTCTTTTTTTTTTATTTGCCATGGTGAGGTGAGTTCTTTTTTGCTATAACTTGAAACCTGTGCAAATTTACATTATTTTCATTCTTATATTTGTGATCAACCAGTTTCAAAATCATATTTTTGATATTTTACTACTCATAAACTTTTGGAAGAAATAGTTCCAACAATTAAGCGTATACCCTTTGGAGGAAGCTTACTACAAAGTTCTTATAAATCTCCAAAACTGAGTATTGATTTAGCACAACCAATGGAGAACATCATCTTACTAATATTTAAACTTATTAAGATGCTTTAATATTTTGTCTAGCATTTACTTCAAAACATATATTTGATCAAGTTTATTTATATTTAAGTATTCCCTCCATTCCAAAATAAGTGTCATTCTAGAGTTTGCACACAGTTTAAGTAAACATTAAATATGGTAACTAAATTACTAGAATCTCCTCAACCAACTCCATTAAAATAATTGCTCACCAATAATATTATTTCTTTTGAGGGTATGTTTGGAAATTTTTGACAAAAAATGCATTAGAATCCAAAAACGACACTTATTTTAGAATTTCTGAATTTTGCTAAAACGTCACTTATTTTGGAATGGAGGGAGTAACACTTATAAAATATTTCTAAAATCATCAAGCATTTCTAAAACGTACCGGGTCAAATACAATTTCATTTTATGCCAAATACAAACATTTCTATGATCACACTTATAAAATATTTTTAAATTTTTCAAATATTTCTAAAATATATCGGGCCAAATACAAAATATTTTTTTCCCAGATACAAACATTTCTAAGATCTACAAATATATTGGGCCATGGTCACGTATTGTGCGACCAGACATCACTAGTAATTAAAGAAGCAAACAAAAAGGGCCAAAAGTTATTTTTAGTACAAAATCGTTTTTGACATGTGGCTTCTTCAGAAAGTAGAAAAATAGCGTATATTTTTTCAAGTAAATAAAAGATTTTATTTATTTACTATATGATGAAATTCCGGAAAAACCTCTACGGTTTGTCTGATGATAATGAAAGTATGAATCCATGAACATCTAAAGCCACAGTTTAAGCTCTGATAGTTATCAACTATGAATCAGGCATTAAATTGCCTTCAATTTCAGCACTACCAGGCTGAGTAAAGTCTAATTGTCGAAAAAAATTATAATAAAATTGTTATGTATAAATAAAAAACAACTGCAATGTGTCGCTCCCTTTCATTCGGAGGACGGGTTCAATGAATTCCTGCTATTTCTCTGTTCAAAATCAATGCTTGCTTATCTTTTGCAATCAATCACAATCCCATATTTCAATTTCAAACACACAAAGGATCAGATTTTTATGATAATAAATCATTTTCAGATTTGGCTGGATCCTGCACGATTACTCAGTGTGAACATAGGTAAACTCTATCCTTCTGTTTCCACTTCAATATTCCCATCCCCTCATATGATTCCCATGTTTGAAACTAAGGGGTTAAAGGGTTTTGGGGAAATAGTGACACTAGATTCTCATCCCTTTGAATGAGGACTAATCAACTGTTGAATTCTTAATTTGTGTGTATGATAATTTTTGCTTTTCCTGATGTTAGGGCAAAGCCATTGTTCGTTTTATTTACGCACCACCCGATGTGGATAAATGCTTTAATGGTGCTATGCTGACGGGGGCTCAATAGTAGCAGGTCCATGGATGGGTTCAATGGTTAGTAAGGTAAGGGTTCAATGACCTTTGATACTGTAGGGAAAAAGGTAGAGATTAATGAATTAGAATGATGTTTGAATGATGGGATCATTTTATTAACAAAATAATATTTTTCTATTTCGGATTTGGATATGAGTGTTTTCTCCTCACCATCATAACACTCAAAGCTATACTTTCATCATTACAGATTGATTGTTTGTGTGAAAAAGAAATTTCAAGTACTTGGTTTTATTACTTTTTGGTGTACAATTTGTCATTTTTTTGTGCAGAGAGAAAGATTTTGTTCAAATAAGGCAGTATACTCTATGAAACAAACCAAACATTTGAGTTCTTGGACAAATTCAGGGGTTGGATTTGAAGGATATTTGAGTATTTGGCAATACTATTATCAAGGTAAATGCAGACAAGGTGTTTGAATTAACACTAACAACATTCAATATCTTGCTTTAGTTTTTTTCAGAAAAAACTTCAACAGAACTCGAACAATGACCCAAACTTTTAAAATTTTTAGTAGAAGTGGACAAATGTAGCTGATGATAAATGAAGCTAAATGCAGCAAAAGCCGATCCTATGTTACAAACATGCCGTGGATGAAAATTTTTCTAGCTGAAAACACTGATAAGATCCTTTGAGGTGAATCAGCCGCAAGTATTCTAAGAAAGCACTCATTTTTTGTGGTCAATGCCCAGTATTTTAGTTGTTACAAGTTTCATGCTTGAAGTGTTTTCTGTTTATATGCATCTATTATCTCATTTTAATTTAATGAAATAAATAATGACACCATCTTCGTATCTTGATAAATATGAGTTTTGTATGAAGATTTTAGAGTCATTTAAAGAGGATCCTATGCCTCAGATTAAGAAGCTTAGGAAGGCTAAACACGAGGTTGAGCCTCATGAGAAACCAAGCTTTGTGAAGACAAATATGTATTATAATCATAGAAACCTGGTGATCGGCTAGGGTGTCTGTAAAGCCAGGCTTTCAGGACCACTCTGTTTGAACGTAAATAGTGAAATAATTAATTAGTTACGATCATCGGTGTCTTTTAGTCACAT